GCTGTACCACAAGCATTGTCTGCAACGTTCCAAATTTCCACACACATAGATGAACCAGAAGCTGTTCGGCATTTGATGAAGGAGATCTTAGAGATAAAAAAGGCATTAGCCGTTCATCACGCAATGGATGATCTTAACTACCTCTACGGGACTGAGGATCAATATTGGGCTTTATTAGAGAATGAAAAATTTCATAGAGATATTGATTATCCTATTTTCCCAATGTTGTGGAGTGGGAGAGCCTACCAAATATCTACCGCAAATATTGGACATTGGAGTGCCATATTATTGTAGTAATCATAAGTGGTCGTATTAATGATAGTAATGAAATATGAGAAATATGTGATAATTGGGGGCAAGATTATGATGCCCTGGGTCCGGATGGATATGAACAAGATGGTGACCAAGAAGACGAAGAAAATGACAATGAAGACCTCGATGACAGTAACGATGAATTAGTGCCCGACAATGACGATAATGACGAATGAAAATATTTCATTTTTTTAATTTTATATTATGTTTTATATTGAATTCTCAATGCTGAGTGTCAACTAGGGTTAACACTATTGGAAATACAATTTTATTTCATTGATATTGCAAACACACCATTAAAGACACTTGTTCCTACTAAACACACTGCTAAAATTACTAATAATATGCTTGATAATTGCCAATGTTGGATGAACTGCCACCATGAGCTGAATTGCCACCGTATGTCAAACCGACTGTAGGACATTTATGATGCTCGTGTCCTGTTTGGAAACATAGACTACATTTACATGCATATACGGTATTCGCAACATCCATTTGGTTTCGTATCCACGTTCATTTTTGCAATCTCGTGCGACGCAAAAATGCCTTGTTACAAACCATTGCAAATGGTTTCGGCAGTCAATAAGACTCAGAACTCAATAGTTGGAAGTGCCCGGTATAAGTGTTTGCTTATGCAACCACACTATATTCTCTATCAATATACCTCGTCGCTTAAAACTAGTATGTTGAAAGTGCTTCATGGCATGAGAGTATAGCATGTGATAAATCGTCCATTTACCTCATGAACATAATCGTGTTCTCTCATTGATGGTGTGGGTATTATAACTATGTCCTCGATGCAAACTAGTTTGAACTTCAAAAATATTTTGGTCACTACAATATTGCAAATATGTATGCCACTGTGACCGCTTCCATGACGCTTAAATTGTTGCATCGGTTTTGGCATAATTTGAACAACCCTTTCCAACAAGGAGGATGCACTGTGAAATCTATCAAAGAACCTCTCCGTCAGTTGCTTGAATGACATATGCACCATGGCAATGACTGGCAATCCTCGGGCTGACTTTAACAATCCATTGAAAGACTTTGAGACATTTGTAGACAAAATTCCCATCTTCTGCCACCATCCTTATACAAAGTCCACATATCAATCTCAAGATCCCTCAATCAAATATAAGCTCCTTCATCTTCCTGCCTAATAAATTCCATTCGCATCAAGAATTTCCTCTCTTGATGATCTGTTACAGCCATCCACATTAGATCATGCAACCTCTTGTTCGAATAAGCCCACTGGAAGTTGACCTTAAGTGCCTAACACAATAACGGTGGTAGACGTACAACTCCTTTCATTCATCCAAAGCACACACCGAACTTAAAATCCCATGGTTCCGATCAGATATTAGACAAATACCTGAACGTTGTCTCACAACGTACTCCTTCACGTGGTTTAAAAACCATGTCCAAGTCTCTTTACTTTCATTGGCACAAATAGCAAAGGTGACAGAAAATATTTGGCCACTATCATCTACTCCAACGACTATCAACATCTTTATATCGTACTTTCCGTACACATGTGTGTCGTCTATAGAGTTTACGAGCCAACAATGAACAAAACCATCAATTGATGGTTTAAATATCCAGAACACATTCTGAATATGTTTTCTAGAATGTCAGGACACCGGTCGTGCTTCCATTAAATAACTATCCTGGGTTTAAAGTGTTGCAAAGCAGCCATATACCTCGGTAGAGCCGCAAATAACTTATCCCAGTTGCCATAAACAATCTCAAACGCATGCTTACGCCCGAGAAATGCTTTTCTTTTGGTAATGGTACACCCATATACCTACACAACTGATGTTATGCACTCATTCACCTTGTACCTTATGGACGATTTAATGTGCGAAATCAAGATGAGGGAGATCAAATCAACGATCAAGTTAAAATGATTCCCATTTAACGTGTTCATTACAAGTATGTTTGCCAATGTATTTCCCCACTACCCACATATTAGTTTTCAACTTTCTCCCACGCAGCATCCACTTACAACCTTGGTCGCATCTACGACAAACCACCTTATATGTTTTTTTAGGTGACTTTACAACCTCTATCTCACGATAGTTTTTTATGCTGTAAATTCGCACTGCCCTGCTGAGGCGAGTATTGTCACTGAAAAACATTTTTTTATAGAGCTCCGTTGGTCTACTGTCATCCCATATTGTTGTACTAATGTCATCAAGATCCCTTTGTGAGGGCATCCATATCTGGTATACTTGGCAAGTGATCAAGGCAGGGAATCGCCCTTGAATAAAAGGACACATGCGACTTGTACACCGTTGGTCTAACGGTAGGTGGAGTCTGCATATACGAAGCATGCTGAGTGGTGGCATCATGCTCCATCATCAAATCCGGTTGCTCATTGTCTCTTTGATATGTGAAGTGTTGTTCCTTATCGTTGTTCTCACCAGGGAAGGGTGTTTCATCGCTAGACTAATCATCGTTGTTGTCATAATCACTATCATCTTCCTCACTCTGTGCATCTGTAGTATCCTGATTTAAAATACCATCATCGCCCAACTGAGTTAGGACAAGACCGTCATGTTGCTCATTTTCACTGCACATTGAATAAAATAATTAATATTTTGTACATCTCAACAGAATATATTAACTTTAACGCTTAAACGTACCATTCATAATTTGTAGATATTTTATGATGCACATTATCAAATTGCCAATGACCGAGGATGGACCAGCATGATCCATTGCTCAAAAAATATGTAGATTCTAACTGTTGATTGGTTCATAACTTGTAAAAGTCATTTCTGGCCGGTAACCCCTATGAAATATATAAGATTTAGTACTATTATTATACATAAAATAAATAGTTATACTACAATAACAAGGTAAATTGCAATTTACCACTCGGGCTATGAATTCTGTAAACTTGGCGACCCTCTATGCTGCTGCATTGGCGAGAAATTATGTCTTCGATCCTCATTAACCCATGAAGATAAGTTTAGATCTGGCCAAACTCTTTCATACGGAAACTGTTCGGATAAAACAACTCCAAAAATACCACCAGATAGTTGAGTGTAAGCTGTAGTTTGCGGAATATCAGTGTTGTTTACATCTTCGGACTTTACGTACATTTCCAGCATGCTTAACACAAGAACATCTCTGCATTCGTCCGTTGTTCTAGAAAAACCTTGTAAAGTTTCATCGTCATCGATGTTAAACTCGACATAACAAGCCACACCTTGTGGAGTAAGCAAATCCATATATCTTCTGGTTACCTTAAGATTAATCGAACGTTTACTCACACTCATTCTTTTACAAATTAGAGATACCAATTTGTGGTACTCCAATGTGAGTAGCACCTTAACAATACACTATGGAGAACAATTATAGTGAACCGAGTTATTCTCCACCATAGCCTCACCACTCCAATATAATGCATCCCTAATTTTTCACTCATCAGACATCGTAGCAAGATTCAAACAGAACTTTGTATATATTGATGAAGATGAAAGAATGTATAAAGGATGCTGAATAACAAAGGCAAATTGGTTCAAATTCACTCAAGAATGATTGTTTCATGAATGAACATTAGGTCTTAAGTAAGCAAAAAATTTCGTAGACACATGAAATGTCCATATAGCGCATGTAATATATGTGCCATACACATAGCACATGTATTACATGCGCTATAGTCTTGACAATCATGACAGCCATAATATTCAGTATAGCGCATGGATATACCTTAACGAGATATTTGGCCGCGAAGGTATAAACGCATGTTATATGTAAATTGGTAGTAGGGCTTGCGCATATATTGGGTATAACCAATAAACCGAATCGATAAAATGCTATTGGGTTATCGGTATCGGGTTATTGGGTAAATAGTTCGATATCGATTTAATATTATTCGACTAATGGCTTATCGGTTCGGCTCTCGATTTGTCCAATTTTATTAACGGTTTAACCGATAGCCCAATAAGCTTTATCAAAATTATAATTTTACCCACTAAGTATATAAAATCACCTTATGGATTCATTCTCTCAATTCTCTCGGCAGTTACTCTTCATCTTCTGACCTTAATCCTTAGAGTAAGTTTTAAACTTTTCTGAATTTCTCAGTTTAGTTTTTCAATTAAGATTTTTTGTTTTAAACTTTAGAGAATTAATTGTTCAGATTTTTAGTTTTTCTATTTGTTTCTTTTGTTGCACTGATTCTTTAGTATTTACAAGATTAGGATTTTATTATTTTCCTATGAACTATGCCCGGCCGCACTGAGATAGTTAGTAAGATTAGATTGTTGAATGTCTTATCCCTTACTCCTATTAACTTATAACTTTGAAAATTTAGATCATTCATTGGTATTTTCAAATGCAAAGAAAGTTTTATTTTCTAAGTTGAAATTTAATCTCTCTTCTCTTAAGAGCAAAAATTCAATTCCTTTCTCTCAATAGTATGGTCACAATTTCTATGATTAAAAACATGAATTTTTGGATAGTTTTTATTCTAATCGGGTAAATCGATGATCGATAACCGATATCTTATCGGTTCGGTTACCGGTTTAGTATATTTATAAACCGATAACCGATATGAATACGGATAATATTCACAACCGAACCGAACCGAACCTATCGATGCCCACCCCTAATTGGCAGTGACCCCTTTTCCCCACCTATTTTGGTCTCTCGAGTCCCAAAAGTAAATTTTGCTAAGTAATAACCTTGACCCAATTTGACACCCTGTACGGGTTAAACCCTTCTTTGACGTGCCGATTCTATTTACTCGTGAGACGCGCAGTTCAAAGTGAGAAATAACGGAGCAATGATGGAGGTAGAAGACGAGCTGCAAGACTCTGCTACTCCTTGCTTGCATTTAGTCTCTGCTTTCCTCGCCTGTGAACCCCCGGATTTCGTTATCTCATTTGCCAGGTTACTCTTTTCAACCCCTGCTCATTTTAGCTAACACCAAATGTAGCGTATTTGCAATTGCCCTCCTAATAGTTTCGTTCGACTAAAAATTATTTGAATTAACACTAGGGATTGTGGAGGTGGTTCCATTACGGAGAGTGTGCAAAGTTTCATTTGGAACCAATGTATCAACAAATTCGTGAGTTTATTAAGCTCTAACCTTCTAGTTAATTTCTTATTTCCACAATCGAATTATTCTCTGATTTTGGATGCTCTTCTGAATGCCGTAGGATGTGAAGTGTAATGGGCATTATTTAAAAAGTTTCTTGAAGAAGCTCATCGTTGAAGTCGAGTCAAATGGGGACGTTGTTTTGGATGAAATATATGAAATGTATATTTATTGTCTGACTACTCTGAAGGTAATTTCTTTTTTAAAATTTTTATCAGTTACTTTATGATAATCGGATTTTACTATCAGCATTGGCTTATGTTGGAATTGGCCTTCCTTTTTTGTTGCCAGGATGATGAATTGACTAAAGGAAACACTAGAACGTTAAGAAGAGTTTCATTTCTACATCCCAAGGGTGAATATTTTTTCTTTTCATTCCCTTTTTTTGGCGTGGGATTATGTTTAGCTAGATTTAGTACCATTGAGTATCCAATATGTGGTGTACACAGATTGTTCACAACCCTCAAGTTGTCAAATAACTAGGAAATTTGAAGTCACGTTGCAATGTTCACTTAACATGCTTGAAGGAGATACAGGGTATGTACTGCCCCTTTTTCTCTTCCCTTTTAACTGGAATTGGGCTTGTTTAAGGATATGCAGCCCTAGTTTACTTTGATATGGTTGACAGGTACTACGATGAAATACATTTTTTAAGAGATTCTAGATCTTTGGACGTCGTATAATTTTAATTATCTTCAGGAGATTCTCTTATTGCAGCTGGGTGTAGCAATAAGCCTTCTGGTTAACTTTACTATGCGAAACAGCAAACTCATGTTGATAATCCTTATGTTTAAGCCATTCATTTTTCCTTCTTTTTGTGATAAGGGTGGTGTATGGCACCTCGACTAATCCACTAGGTATCTGCTACCTCCCACAAGTACAGGGTAACTCCGTCCTTTTAAAAATGAGAAGAAATAACCTGGCCTTTTTGCCTTTGTTGGGATTTGAACCTTAGTCTCACATAGTGTATTCCAGCTTTTATCAGTATGTTTACACATCAGGCTGATATCTACTAAATACTTCAATAATTAATTGTGTGGAATCTCTACATCAGTGTTATTAAAAGCCATCACTACGCCGCTTCAAGTGATGAAGCGATGTGAAGCACGGGGTTATTACTTCATCGGTGAAGCCATACACTTTACAGAAGTTTGCACTTCAAACAATGGTGCACAACGTGATCCTAGCGAGAATCAGTCGCTTCTCTCAACTTTGAGAAGTTGAATTAATATCAGCATTATGGTATATTGGGTTTGGAAATAGTTATTTTAGTTGTAATTTTCTGTTTGATTGTTTTTAATTTCCCATAAATTGTGCGCTTCACTTCAAAGAAGCGTGCACTTCTCTTCTCGCTTTTCGCTTCAAGCCCCATGAACCTTGTCGCTTTTTTGCGCTTTTCGCTTTCAAAAGCCCGACTCTAGATAGGTGGCATGTTTACTGGATCCTCTACTATCTACTTGAAACATATTGTTGCATCAATTTTTTTTTTAAGAAAAAAGAGCAAGTGATCCTTGATAATTTATTTCCTTCTTTACCATCATACTCTTTTTCCTTCATAGTGCAATTCATAAGTACCATAAAAGCTTATAAATATCAGGATTTATGAACGTTACTCTTGTTAGACATTTTAACTGACGATAGTCACCCTTTGATGCTTGTGGATGTAAGGTGGCATAACAACCTCCCTTCTAGCATGTATTTCTTACTAGTTTCTCCAAGGTATAAAAATTGTATTCCCATTAACAAAATTCTGGAGTTATCGATTTCTTATCAGACTAGATGCCGTTTGCCCGTGCTAGCACGGGCCCAACAATTTGTGTTATATTGTATTATCCGATAAAAATTTAATGTGGTGATTAATTTAAAATTTGTTATCAAGTTAAATTCATTTTTTTTTCAAATTGTATTTGGGTATGAACTTCCCTTAATGAGAAATACTTTTCAAACGAAATATTAATTTAAAATTCTAGTTCATTCTTCGAAGTATAAATAACGAACTAAAAATTAACACATATGTTATTCTACAAATAATATTTCAAGTTGAAGTTGAAATATTATATGTCCAAATTAACCGAACTTTTAAATATTATTTTGCAATTTCAAGTAAATATTGTCCAAACGCATATTATAAGTTACAAGGTTTGACCAGGACATATTTTTATAAAAACTTATATTATGAGAACTTCTTAAACTCAAATATTTATAATGGTTCGTGATTATCAATCTTACATCCGTATACACTTTTAAGTCTAACCAAATTTAATAATTAGGAAGATACACAAATATGACTCCTACAAAATTTTACTATAGAATAAAACATCGGATATGATGGAAAAGAAGGAGCTTTTCCTTTTCTACATATTTTAGTTTTCAAGATTTTTCTTGTTTTCTTTAGTTACTCTAAAAATTATATAGGACGTGAATTTCTTATATGATGCAACTTTCTAGCCTTCATTGAACTTTCATCCAGTAGTGATCTTTAGTTTTAATCTTTCTTTTTCCAAGCTTGTTTTATCTTTGAAATTTTTTAACAGTCTCATTCGCTGATACTTTGTTAATATTTGGTGATCGTGATACTTCTATGCCATTTCTAAATATTACTTAAGTAATCTCTTTATGATTTTATTCATGAAGTTCCAATGCATAGTCGCATTGACATCAAAGAAAATATTTAGCTAACATTAATGTTTTTGCCATGAAATAGCACTTCTTAAGTGCAACGTTGATATTCAAGAAGTTAAAAGGAAGAGCGCCAACGTGTCTTTCGTAAACATAAAATGTTGGATTCATTGCACTCACATGGGTTGACGTGTAACTGAGCGGAGGAACGATATTATAAAGTGACTACAAAATTTCAAGTGGGGACTACAGTTGTTGAGCGCGTGAAGATGGGTGCAAATTGAGCATGCTGAGGAGAAATGAAGATGGGGCGTACTTTTCAACCTAAAAATCCACGTGTGCTCAAGGATATGAAACTTTAACATTGGACAATAGCAAAAAGCTGTCAGCTCAGTAATTTAAATGGCAAGTACCGTGGTGCCCACACTCAGGTTGTCTAGGTGGAAATGACTATATAATCCTTCTATGAGCAGCCTGCGTTAACAATCAAAAGGACATAATAGACTATTCAAAATTTGGTTGCGCACGAAATGACTAAATTGCCCTTGAAAGGCAAGCAGGCATGACGACCCCCAGCTGCTTCCTAAGCGGCTTCTATATAGTAGTAATAGGGAAGACATTATAATAGCTCTCTTGCACTATACATTTTATGGGTTGAAACTGTCTTTCATGAGGGACCAGGTTTGGCTTTTGGAGTACGTTTGTGCCACAGCTTTGAATTAGGATTGCTGCATGTTGCAAGGGAAAGTTGGTAAAAGTTTTGCAAAAGCTAGTGTCGTAGTTCATTGTGATAGCATGCAGTAAACACTGACTTCTTACGTGCTTTTACCTGCATGTATTTCGGCCATTAACTAGTGGTACATAACTTACTAAATCTCCATGCTGTGAATAGTAACTGTGGAACCTCATGAGATGTAAATTAGCGCATGTGCGCGCACACACACAATAATTATTGTAAAAAATTAACTAGTGGTACATAATTGACGCAAATGCCTGATATGGTGAAAGTTCTGCTCTTTTGTTATCTCATAATCTTTTTACAATAATTATTCCCAGTTTGACTGCTGATCAATGTGTTCTATCTATTTCAATTTCATGGTTGAAACAGGTGCTCGATTTGGCCATCAGGTCTGTTCCTTTCGGAGTTCATACTTTCTTTTCCAGAACTGTTCTCAGACAAATCTTGTCTTGAGGTGAGATAGCTTTCCAAAGTATTCATCTGTTTGTCTTTGTTTATCAATTTTATTCTCTTCAATTTGTCTTAGGGAAAATTAAAACATAATAATTCTTCTGTTATTCTTGATGGATTTTTCCAAGGTGGAATGGTGCTGCTTTTGATCCTTTCTTGTTTTTCTAGTCATTCGGCAATGCTCTTTTATGTATTTAGTTAGGTTGATTTATTTATAACATTTGTGCCATTTTTTGTATTTTATCTATTAACAAAGCAGGTTGGTTCAGGTGTTGGATTGGTTGGTGTCTGTTTAGCTCACGTGAATGCCTCCAAGGCAAGTTTGCTTTTACTATTCTATCTTTTTTCCCCTCTGTTAAATGTGCCACTCTTGTTTAGACAAACGCAGCTGACATTATGTCTACCTGCTCATTTTAAGCTTCTATGTTCTATCTTCTTGTTCAAGGACCTTGTTGACATAATCACATTTTTGATGTTCTCCAATAAGAAGGGTCTGAAGAGATCAAATTTGTGAATCGGCTTGCTCTATCTCTATTTGTATTTTTGAAGTTACAATTGCTTTTGTCTTCTCTATTGCATATGTCTCTACGCCTTCTATTGAAAATGGCGAGGATAATTGACTGGACAGTAGATGCAGATGGTTTATTGTAGGATGTGAAGCATGCAATGGATAACGATTAGAATCAAGTCTATCAATTTATTCAACTACAATTTGGGTCAAGGAATGCACCGGTAGAAGCTAAAATTGAAAGAGACGCACTCTTGTAATCATGTGAATTTAGTCTACTATTCCCATTACATAGTTTTTCCATCATAAATATGAAGTAATACATTCCAAGATTACGTCTCTCTTTGCTTAATCTAGTAAGCTCTTGAACTTTATAGTCTGTATTTACATCTTAGGATAGATATAGTTGTTATCCTCATTTGAGCTACTGAAATAGTAACCTCGCGGAACCCTGTTAACAATGTGTGTATTGTTAAACATACTAATCTTCTTTCTCTTTTGTATGACTTCAGCAGGTCACTTAGATTTATCAATTTTGGATCCTTGATTTTAAATTTTTCTCCAAAAGCTATTTTTAGCTCCTGCAGGAAATGCTTTCGGATCGATTAGATAATTGTTGTAGTGGATTCAGTGACTGTTGATGGCATTATTTCTAGCCTTAGTATAAGTTCTAATAATTTTCTTGGTTCAGCATTTAAAATTTACCACCCCAGTATATGAATTGAAATCATTGATTAATTTGAAAAGTGAAATTTTTTATCCAGTTAAATCTGACCGGTCAAAAGTCAAACCTGGCCTAATAGAGACCTAACTGGCTGTGAGATAGACATTACAAAATTTTAGTAGATAAAATGACTATTTATGTCGATATGTAGTATATACCATTGTTAATCAAACAATACTTGTTCTATGAGGTGCTGATCACGCCTTTAAATAGTTTACTTGTTCGGCCAAATATTGCCATAAAATCTAGTATTGTTGCATCTTGTGGGTTATTTGGAACGAAAGGAATGGGAGGGCGTTTGAAGAGGTAGAATAAGATTTTGTAAAATTGCAAGATAGTCTTTTGTTTCTGTGTCTTTTTGGTGTACTCATGAGGTCCCTATTTGTATAGAGGATTGGGCCTCTTTTGTTGAGTACCATATATTGGTGTAGGAAGGGGTGTTCATAAAAATCCGAAAACCCGAACCAAACCGAAAACCAAACCAAACCGATCAAAAAAACCGATACTTTTTGGTTTGGTTTGGTTTTGGTTTTGAAATTTAAAAACCGATCAAATTTGGTTTGGTTTTGGTTTTAATAAAAAAAAAACCGAACCAAACCGAATATAAGAGTAGCTATTTTAAATTTATAATTACACCTATATATATGTAAACTTTTATACAAAGTTTCAAAAAATTTACAGTAAATGTTAATCGTTTGCACTTTTAGTACAGTGCTTTACCTTTACATTCTAGTTTGATTGGTAGTTTTCTTTTGTTAAGTGTAAGAATCTATTTCATGTTAAAAATAATATATTTTTAATTGAGTCCTTAAATTATTCACCACTATTTGATTCAATTATCATCAATATATCTTGGTAAATAATAGATTTCTCAAAGGGCAATTGATTTGATAGTGTTACGTTGAAAGTTTGGTCGCCGAAATATGTGTTTGGTAGTGTATGTCTTATATTTTAAGAAAAACCCGATAAATAACCGACAAAACCGAAAAATTGACATAAACCGAATCGAGAAAAAACCGACTTAATTGGTTTGGTTTGGTTCTAATATTTGAAAAACCGACTTACTTGGTTTGGTTTCTTTTTAGGGAAAAAACGATCCAAACCGAACCATGAACACCCCCGTGTAGGTTCTCTTCTTTTGGTATACGGCTTGTATAAGGGGTTTTCTCATTGTTAATAAAATTATTTACCCTATAAAAAAAAAAAGATGGTGCAGCAGACCTCGTATTCAGTAGGATTAACTTTCAACATATTGGTTCTAGTTATTTAATAATACACCAAGTTGCAGAAAATGCCAATTAATAGATTTTTGGTTGACCATCTCTTTATAAGTAATGTCCATTTTACCATCATATGGATGTGTTACACTTCACAAAACCTGTTAAAGCTGTGTATGTTGCCTGAAAAAATCCTTCCTCTAAAAAACTGCGCATCTTGTAAAAAAAATGTTTCAGTCTCGTTATACTTCTTGGTAGTTGGGAACAACAGCTGCTATAATAGCTTCACTACCTTTTTGTTTTTTGAATTTTATATTTTTTACCTGAAGTGTAATGGTTAATTTAGATTCTTATCCATAATGATTCAGGTAGTACTTACAGATGGTGACTTATCAACTTTAGCAAACATGAAGCTCAACTTGGAGCTAAATCAGCTGCACACTGATATGTTAGACCATACACAAGATACCAAAATGGTCAGTGCTCAATTTTTTTCTTTCTTTTTGCTTATTTGCATGTCTTCTTTCAGAATTTCTTCCAATTGTATTATGTATTTATGAATTTAAGTTGGCTAGTTTGACAATCATAGGCTCCTTGCATAACTTGCTTGGGTAGAACTGGCGGACATTGGTTTAAGGGGTTGATAATGTACTCGCTATATTTACAGCCATAACAGAGCAAATGCATGTTGCTGCACCTTGTTTCAAAATGTGAATAGGAGGTAGGACTAGGTTGTTGGTATTTGGCAGCAAGTTTCTTGGCATGTTTACTTCTACCACCATCCCTGAGATGAATTCTGACCTATCAACTTGATTTTTGAACAGTAGAATCATGGTACTTTACAATTCGGCATAATTATGCCTACTGATATCCGATAATGCTACAAATATTATTTTTTCAACAGTCAAAAGGTTTGATGTTTTTGATTCAGGGCAAAATTGGTTCTCTTTTAATTTTATAACAGAGGTATACGGCCCAGTCTGCGCGCCCCTCGACTATTCACTGGCATCGTACCACCAGTACAGGTCTTCAAGAATTTGGAGAAATCATCTAGCTTTTTGCCTCTGCAAGAATTTGAACCTACTCTAATCTTCATCTACCGCTAGATCATACCCTTGGATACTTTCTGAAAGAAAAATATTGTTGTCTAATCACGGAAGTCAAAATGGTTTTGGATAATCATTCATCATTTTACTTGAAACGCTGTTGTAGGGCAGTTGCGATTCTGCTTATCCACTTCTGCATGTAGGAAAAAATATATATACCAGAAAAGCAAAAAAACAAAAGATGAAGTGAATTCAGAGCACAATGGCGAGGGGCCAGTAAGAAAAATCTTCCATGTTTTAATTTCTTCCGGCTACCATTATGATAATGCTGCACTTTCAAAGTTTATTCTATTTATACCCAAAAACATACTGTACTTAGAAAGGTCAATTGTATATGATCTTTTGACCAAGCTCCAAGATAAATAGAACTAGGGGAAGAATTAACGAGGCGAGTGTTCTCAAGATGAAACAACCAGCAAGATGTGCACGCACAATCACTGTCTTCACTTAATGGATTTTCATGGACTTATGTGGAATATGCCTTAGATTTCTGGACATGTATGTCTGGTTTTCCTCTCTGGCCAAAGAGGTCACATTAGCAAGGAGAAATCTGGTGAAAATTCTACTTTATGTTCTTCATTTGTATAGGTTGTTATGCTTTACTATTGATGAAGATAAGTTTAAACATTCTGGAGTTTTACATATTGTGGAGTTAAGTTTCACAGGTGATTGCCCTCAGTTCAAGTGAATGCTATTAAACTCATTTAATCTTCTTTTTTTCTTGTTCATTGTTCATATCTGTTAGCTGACAGCCACAGGTGTACTATATCTCCATTGAAGTTGCAAAAATCTACCTTGCAGCTTTGCCTAGATGGAGTAATTAACCAAAAACATTTGTATAAATATTTATTGTTGGGCTGGACAAAGAACTTGTTCTTATTGCCAGTGGCTTACTGAATGTAATTGATTGCCACAGTAGGATGTCCAGATGATGTATCTCTAAGTTTTATAAGTTATTTGGACTGATGAAAAGAGTCGCTTGGAAGATGAAAAGAAAATTGACATCATTTTATAGTGACTCCTGAAAACTGAGAGTCCCCTTGGGATGAAGACATTGAGTTTTCATATTTACAACTATGCCCAAAGTCTAACATGTCCGCAAGATGAGTGTCATTGAGATGTACATGCTAAAGAAAAGAAGATGCACATGCTAAGATAGATGTTAGGTCATACTAGATTTTATGAGATTAGAAATTACCACATCTGGCAGAAAGTGCAGTAGCACACATTGAGAATAAAATGAGAGATCACGTCAGATGGTTTGGTCATGTCCTACTTCGACCTCTAGATGCACCAGTGTGTAGGTGCGAAACCATGGCTACTGAAGGTGTTAAAAGGGACGTAATAGACTTGAAAATCACATGGAGGGAAGTTTGATTTGAAAGGCCTATAATCTCTTAGAATCCACACAAACTGAGCAAAAAATAGGGCACAATGGAAGAAAAAAGATATACATAGGCGATGCACATAGTTGAGATTTGTCTGCCAGAAGAAAATATAGAGAACTTCTAGCGGAGATCATTCAGCATAAACTTAGAAACTAGCGAGTTTCACAAGTTGAACCCTGTAATATATCTGAAATGTATAGTAGTGTAAGCATAAGATAGCAGTTAAGACATTTCTTTCTGTATTCAGGTACGGTGCTTGTCTTTGCCGTGGGAGTCTGCAACAGAAAATGAGCTACATCAATTCTTGCCAGATATAGTGTGAGTATTGACTCTTGACTTTGCTTTTATTAGTTTTTGTGCCATGCTTATTACGTCCCTTCCCTGTAAGACTTTAATCTTGAGGAATGAATTTGCAGATTAACTGTTAGAAACATTGTGGAAAGAGGGAACTAAATGAATCTTAAAAGCCTTATGAAGAGTCTAAAAGAATGCTGCTGCAGCAATTGGTATATTATATTTAATTTGATTAGTCTAACTAGGTTGTGGTGCTAAAAAATTCAGTATAAGATTTGATTTGGATATAACAAGTTTTAAATTATAGCAAGGTGGAGATTACGAAGAAGATGGATACACTCGACTGAATATCAAGCCTTAGTGTCAATCTTTCCTTTATTAGTACCGGATTTTGACTTTCCTCTTCATAGTTTGGGTGCAGATGTGATATACAATCCAGTATGCCTCCCATACCTTGTTCAACTCCTTGCCGTTCTTTTAAAGCGGGATCCAAAGCTACATCATTTGAGTAATGGCTGCAAGGACTGTCCACCTGTGTGGAGATGTTTCGAAAGTGAAGAAACTAGTTCCGTAGGTGACAATGTTTTCCCAGGAAAAGCAAAAACAAATGGTGATACACATGTTGAGCATTTGTCACCTGGACTAGGACAAGGGCCTCTTGCATATATTGCTTCAGTAATTCGCAATATTGACACATTTAATTATTTCCTTTCATTGGCAGAACAGGAAAATTTAGTTGTATCCGACATCACTGAAACGATGAAGCCACTTGACTTGCTTCCTTATGTAAAATCATATCAGCGGTCTAGCATAAGGATGTTTAAAATTTCATACTTGTGCAAATAAGGTTTCTATGTAATCAAACAGACCTAAGTCTGCTGTGTGGAAAATTCAAATTGATTACTGTCACGGCCAGTAAATGTTAACTATAGCATAGTGATGTCCTTGTATTCATTTTTTCTTTCTTATTGAAGGGGAGCCTTGGCGTAACTGGTAAAGTTGCCTCCATGTGACCAGAAGGTCACGGGTTCGAGCCGTGGAAACAGTCTCATGCAGAAATGCAGGGTACGGCTGTGTACGATAGACTCTTGTGGTCCAGCCCTTCCCGGATCCTGCGCATAGCGCGAGCTTAGTGCACCGAGCTGCCTTTTTTTCCTTGTTCATATAGCTGTTGTGAACAGATGTATAGTTTATCGGTATTTTTTAACTTTCCGGAATAATAATTTGAGGAACTCTATATTCTTATTGGGAGAATATTTCAGACACGTAGAAATATTAAGATTATGTTGACAATGAAATTTGTGGCATGGAGAGTGAGTTTGTTGGAGTGTAGTTTAGGGATTTTCTCAGAAAGAACAAGTAATGCGTTGTGAGCAGTGGTCTCCTGAAACCTAGCTCTCCATTATGTTTTGAAGCAAACACTGAACAGACAATGTTGTTCAAGTTCGAAGGGGCCTAGAAATTTGATCCAGAAAATATATGACATCACAATATATAGTTATATATACAGGTTCGTAGTAACTGATATATCTTATACTTGTATAGAATAAGGGATAGTTGGTTGGCCGACCTTCTCTGAAACTTATTTTGCGTATTGACCTTTAAGTTTAAATTATTAGCTAGAATACCTTCTAGATTAGTTAGGGTAATGTGTGATTTGAGTTAATGAAAAGATGAAGTGGAATGTTAAGACCACAGCCTCAAAGTTTCATTTATTATACTTTGGCCACACTATACAAATATATCATCTACGAAAAATCGAAAAAAAACCCCAAAACCCATTTCCATCCATCCTCCACCCCCTTCTTCTTCCTATTCTGACGTGCATTTGCCCTCATTCCCCTTTTGGCTCGCATTTTCCTCCGTTTGTCGCATAGATGTTATTTGTACCGTTTCCCTTCTTCCCCCTTTCATCTCAAAACCACATTTGCAGCGCAACAGTGGAGAAATGGATTTAGGGAGGAAACTCATATTCGTCGATTTGGAGCTGGAATTGGCGGTACGATAGATTAGGCATTACTTTTGTACGTTAAATTGGACATTACTTTTAAGGGATACATTCCGTCCCGTGTATCTTGTAAGTGATTAAATCTCCTCTTCTTCGTCATTGTGCATTTTAGTTTTTGCATATTTGAGCCCTACTACTCTGCAATTTGTTAAGTCACTCGACCACTAGTGCACAATAGACCATAGTTAAATAGACTAATGATTCACAACAAACTAATAGGAGACTATGTATTAGTATGCTGTCTTTATTTTAGTGAAGGGTTGAAGGGCGATATATTTGGACTTGGAATTCTGATTCAAAGGAGACCTTACCTATTCGTAAATGTAGCAATGGTACATATAATGATTTTGTTAGCCAATTAACATGTTCGTCGAAACAACTGAATAATATTTACATGCTTAGTTTAGCGCCAACGAGGGACATGATTCCTCTTTCCTTCATAAAGAATGATGTTGTAGTTGAAGAAGCGGCTGGAGTTTCATTTGAAAGGTCTCACCAAGGTTCAAATATTGTAGCTGCACCGACACTACCACCACTACCACCTTTACCACCCCCACCAATTTTAGAAGAAATGATGAAGGATGGCTTTAGTGGATTTAGTCATGAGTTGGATGATTTTGGTGTAAATGAAATAAACTTGTCACGACCAAAAATTCCACCTTAGGCTGTGATGGCGCCTAGCCATACTCGCTAAGCAAGCCAACTCACAATCAACATAATATAGTCCAAATTTTTTTATTTAACATAATCATATCATATATAAAAACGTGAATGATCTCGAAACACTATAATATGTGATACAATCATAACATGCTCCAAACATGAACAAAATAATATAACCCCCAAAAATTAGGTGAAACAAGTGTACGAGAAACTACTACCGAATAAGTACAAGTCTGAATACATAATCAAAATTGTCTGAGAGAAAGAAAATGGACAGTAGATAAATAAAAACAGGCACTCAGGCTTTGCGAGACGAATACATGAGGTTCACCTCGCCCTAAGTCTCTGAGCGAACGCCTAGACTCAATAAGAGGCTCCACTAGTACCACCTAAGGATCTGCACAAGAAGATGTGCAGAAGCATAGTATGAATACACAATAGTCGGTACCCAATAAGTATCAAGTCTAACCTCGAAGAAGTAGTGGTGAGGTTATAGGCATCAGGATACTTACAATACAGATATAAATAACAAAGCCTGAAACTGAAGTAGGAAAAATCATCATGAGCAACAGGCGTCAAGATAATAAACAATCGAAATGTATAAAGCATGCTTTTCCAATGCAAAAGATAATCATAACGCTGCTCAGATATGGTATTTAAAGACGACGTGCTTCAGTCAATGGAGTCAACGCTCCCAACTAGCATATATAGGTTGTATGCTAGTTAGCATTTAAATGAATACTTCTAACTAATCAAGTCGTCTCACAATCCATCATAGCATAAGGGACTAATACATGAAATAAAAAAGGGCAGTAATAACATTCATTCAGCCCGTTGAAACACCCATAGAAAAGCTTCGATGAGTAAGCAAATATGATCTAGTATAGAATACTCATTCGCATTAGCCCTACCAATAGACCCCTAAACCTATCCAGATCATCCTAAGTAAATAACCTCCCAAAATCCTAATGACCTCATCAATGACACATACAATCAGCTGTCTAGCCCTTAATACACTTTCACATTCCGCGACCAACAGATTAACCCGCCTCCTCAAAGATCAAATATCTAAACCTCGAGAATACAAAACCTCCGTACTTGATATCTATCTCCCTCATGTACATGTCTCATACATTACACAAGGGCTGAAATATCGCCAACTCGTCCAAAGGAGTCATCGTTCGGAGGCACCATCGTCATGGCCCGAGAACACCATGTCATGGCTTGAGGATCTCTTTCAATCTTTTGCACATCATTATTCAAAGGCGTCATGGTTCGGAGGCACCATCCTCATAGACCGAGAACATTATTTCATGGCCTGCGAATCCTGCATCAAACAATCCATGGCCCAGGACATCATGGTCTGAGGACACCATTCCTAACCGTCCAAAGACAACATTCATGGTCCAACGGGAATCTGCATCATGTTTAAATTATGCAGTATATGTTTGTATCGTTTATTTGCAGGTAACCCGACGAGCAACGGCTATCCCAGCAGGAGCGATCCCGCTCCAGTTTTCCCAATCATATCAAACCTCACCATTCCCATAGGTCGCTTATTCGTCCAACCTTATACGTTGCATCCGTTCTTGTAAAACTTCACCGGTATACTTCGCCGATGACTCCTGAACTACATATGGCCTGATTCCTGTAAAACCAGGGATATGTAGGCGGCTCAGAAGCCAGAGTACGGCCTAATCTCTCAAACCATTTTGCTCGGTCATTTTTGGCCATCATTTCTTTACCCGAAAATTCTTTCATCCTTCCCGGGTAAAGATGGGCAGCCGTTGATACCCAATTTTTCCCTATTTATTTTGAATATGCAAAAATACCTTCGAAATAGCATATATATGCATATATAAGCATGCACAAGGTTTTTATTATTTTTTCCATAATTTTAAGGGCTTAAATTTATTTATTTTCCCCTTTTTTTGTCCATAAAACCCCAATAATTATTTTCTAAATTATTGTTACGATGATTTATTCATTTAATCTCTATACTTATGCCAAAATATAGTTAATATATTTTTTATGCATTTTTATAATTATATTTAGTATTTTTTTAAGCTAAATTATATATAATTGCAATGTTAGCCCTTTTAATGTATAATTATATTTTATATGCATAAAATTGGTCCCTATATTTTTAAAATGTTAATTATATATTTTAAATTATTTTGGCACATTAAATTATTTTTCAGAAATTACTTATTATTTATTATAAATTAAATAGGGGAAATTGGCTATTTAGATTATAGCCAGATTGGCATTTCAATTACAGCCTAAATTGCACCCAACCCCAACCCCATTTCCTATTAAATTACCCGACCCAGGCCCCAAATACACCTACCCGACCCGGCTCTTGTTAGATCCTGGCCGTTGATCATTTTGATCAACGGTCCAGATCTCTCCTTTCCTAATTAAACTAACCTATACCCCCAAAACCTAATTCATTTTCACGACCAACCCCGTCGCCCTAAAATCCCCTCTGCTCTCAAACTCTCTCAACCTAACCCTAATCTTCAACCGCTGACCTCCCATCTCCGGCCATCTCCGGTCACCTCTCATCGTCTCTTAAGCCTCCAATGGCTTCTCTCATGCCACGCTCATCTTCTCTAAGGCCTTCAAGGGCCCTGGGCCACGCCGACTAGTATCTAGGGTTCGATGTTTGTATGTTCATGGCTACTCCGGTGTGATTTCGAGCAAAATCACGCTATATTGGTTACGTTCTTTGAAGTTCTAAACAGGTTCTACCGTTTCTATTTGAGTTTCTTCTGAAACCCTAATTTTGTTTACACCTCCTAGATCTGGGCTATTTTTAAATGATTAAAGTCTGCTCCTTTTATGTTTTACACTCTCCTTGAACTTCTTTTGCAAAAATCATCAATTTCAAGTTGATTTTCACTTTCTTCTAGATCTAGGGGTTTTCAGAACTTCTTCTACACTTTGTTTAAATCGATTTTTATGTTTTAACTTCTATCTTTTGCATATCTCGACTAGTTCTATGCTTTACTACCTCTTCAACTTGCCTATGTTGAAAGCCCTAATTTTTCTATGTTTTTTCGTTTGATTCTGTGACTAGCTTGTTCTTGTTTGAGTTTCTGTGACTATCTCGCTTCGAATGTGTTTCTACGGAGTTTCTTATGCCTAACTTATATCACCTCTGTATGTTTGTGCTCATCTTGACTGGTCAACACTAGCCTCTTTGCTTCCTGTGTTTGGTTATTCCTATTTTACTCTTTTTATATGCTAAAACTCTCTCTTTGATTGACTCTGA